GATGTCAATTGAATTTTTAGTGATCTCGCTAACTTTACGTTAAATTAGCAAAACACTATTTTATTTTCGAACACGATTTTCTTATGAAAAGAAAGGTAGCGGCAAATTTTTAGTTTTCACATCTAATTAGCGGCAAAAAAACGGCAAATTTCCATTCACTCAACTCATCACTACCGACATTTTTAGTGATATTGTCTCGCTAACTTGACGTCAAGTTAGCGAAACACATGATTTTTTTTTCAAACTTGATTTTTTGTAAAAAAAAAGCGACAAATTTTTGGTTTTCACAACTAATTAGCGGCAAAAAAACGGCAAATTTCCATTCATTCAATTTTTCACTACCTACATTTTTAGTGATAATGTCTCGCTAACTTGACGTCAAGTTAGCAAAACAAATGATTTTTTTTCAAACTTGATTATTTATGGAAAAAAAAGAACCGGCAAATTTTTGGTTTACACAACTAATTAGCGGCAAAAAAAGGGCAAATTTTCATCTACCTAATTTTTTACTGCTGACATATTTAGTGATGTTGTCTCGCTATCTTGACGTCAAGTTAGCAAAACACGTAATTAAGAAAAAACCAAAAGAGCGGCAAATTTTTTAATTCCACATTTAATTAGCGGCAAAAAAGCGGCAAATTCTTGGCATAACGGAAAATCGATTTTCCGAAGTTGTCTCGCTAAGTTGATAGACATTAAAATCTTAGTGGCCGGTGACTTGAATATTAATTACGAGGATTCTGAGTCAATGTGCACTCAGAATCTGAAGGACTTGCTGATTTCTTTTAATTTGCAGATGCTCATTAAGCAGCCCACCCGTATCTCAAAATATTCCAGTACCACTATTAATTATCTTTGTTCAAATTTTTCGGACATATTTGGGGCTGAAACTATTGTGATTTCCTCGGGTCTCTCTGACCATGAGGCTATAATTTCATCTATTTATGTACACCAGGGAAAAAAATCAAAAACCTTTAGATATGGAAGAATTTACAGTACTAAAAACTTTAGACATTTTAGGGAACAAGCTGCGAAAATAAATTGGCAGGGATTATTGAGATTGGATAACTCATTAGATAAATTTAATAGTATAGTTGTTGAAATTTTTAATGCAAATTTTCCTGTCCGTAAATTAAAGCAGAAAAACAAAAAGCCCTGGATTACCTCGGGAATAAGAAACTCCTCAGTAAATTTAAGATGTCTGCATAGGATAAGAAAATTCACTTTAAACCAAGCTTTCTTGGCCCATTTTAATAGGTACAAAAATATTTATAGGAGTACTATTAAGACAGCCAAGAAGTGGTATTACAGGGATAGGATTGATAGGGCGCAAAATAAAACTAAAGAGAATTGGAAAATAGTAAACTGTTTGCGGGGAAAATCAAGCTCAGCAAAGACTAAAGTTGATGTTGATGCTAACACATTAAACGATTTTTATTGTTCCGTTGCTGATGGACTAACAGCAAATTTAAATTCACAAATTGATCCCATGTTGTACCTGCAGGAGGTTTCTGTACCGTACAGTTTTTATTTGATACATACTGATATTGATGAAATATGTGGTATCCTTGGAGAGATAAAAAGTAAAAATTCCTCTGGCATAGATGACCTTACACTCAGAGTGTTTGCGGCTTTGCCCAGACAGGCTTTGGAGATTATGGTAATGTTAATAAATCAATCTTTTGACGATGGTTGTTTTCCTTCTAGTCTCAAGACCGCTGTTGTTGTTCCGCTGTTTAAGGGTGGTGATCCGAAAAACCCTGCTGATTTTCGTCCAATCTCAATGTTACCTACGCTTTCAAAAATCATTGAAAAGCTTGTAAAGAAAAGAATGGTAGCCTTCATGTCTAGTCACAATATCCTGACTAGTTGTCAGTTTGGATTTCAAGCCTCTAAGGGTACTAGCGATGCGGTGTTCAGGCTTCTGGAGAGTGTGTACGTCGGTCTGAATGGAGGAAGTATGGCTGCAGCGGTTTTCTGTGATTTTTCGAAAGCATTTGATTGCGTAAATCACAGAATACTGCTGGAGAAAATGCATCAGTATGGTTTCAGGGGAGTGGCGTATGACTGGTTTTCGTCTTATTTGTCAGGTAGGAAACAGGTGGTTTGTTCTGAGGATGGTAGCTCAGATGAACTGTCAATGAGACACGGTGTTCCCCAGGGTTCGGTTCTTGTCCCAGTTCTTTTTCTATTGTACTTGAATGACTTGGCTAGACTAGATATTCGAGGCCGTTTTACCATTTTTGCAGATGATACGACCATCTTGTGGCTTGATGAAGATGCTAGTTTATTAAAGGATATCATAATTGAAGACCTACGACGTGTGAAGGAGTGGTGCGACGCAAATTTACTTTGTTTCAATTTAAATAAAACTAGTGCTATTTCTTTTAGGTTTGTGTTGGATGATCTGAATGTGGACAATTATTTCGTGGCAAATAAGGCTAGCTGCAGGTTTCTGGGCTTGCACATAGACTCGGATTTAAAATTTAAAGAGCATATATTGTGTCTGAACAGAACAAGAAATTGGCATCTGGATGCTTTGCTGTTCGTATTGTCACGGGGCGGCTGGGGTCACTCATGGCTAAGTCGGTATATTATTCACTTGTCGAGTCTCATTTGAGATATGGGATTGCATTTTGGGGTTTTTGTAACAAACAACTTTTTAATTCTATGTTTGTCCTACAGAAGAGGGCGCTTAGGTATTTATGCAAATTGAAGGCTAGGGACCATTGTAGGCCATTGTTTGTTCAGGAAGAAATCCTTACATTGCCATGTATTTTTATTTTGGAGACTGTCTCCTTGGTGCACAAAAAGTATAGAAATTTTATAAATCCCAACATCCACAACACACGTTATGGACATAATATACCATTACCAATACCCAGGAGTGGTTTTACTAAAAACTCTTTAATATATGAAAGTTTAAAGATATACAATCATTTGCCGGATGAGTGGAAGGGTCTCCATGATCTTAAGAGTTTTGTAAAATGTGTAAAGTCCGTTCTAAAATTGAAGGCATACTATAGTTTAGAAGAGTTCTATAAGGATGTTTTTTAGTCGTTTAATCTTATATTAATTTTTACTTTGATTGTTTTGTTTAACTATTATATCGAGATTTTAAAAAAGTATTCCTGTTTTTGTGTAAATTTTGTATTTTAACTTAATTTTATCTAATCGGAATAGTATTTGTAGTATATTTGAACAATTGACTAGCCCTAAGTTATGTGTCTATAATTTATTTTGTATTGAATATTGCTAAGATTTAGAATTTAGGGTTAAATTTATATTTTTTAGGCTTTGTCAATGAGTTTATTCTTTAGACAATAAAGCGTTATTTGATTTGATTTGATTTGACAATATTTAGTTCGTGGTAGGCTCCTGGTTGGACAGCACTGGCGTTATTTACGATTTCTATAGCCACTGCATCTGCCTCTCTGGTAACTATGTCTACCTCGAAAAAAACCAAACTTTTTCACCACTACGCCATCAGGCCAATTAACAGCCTTGAGTAGCTCGGGTTCCAATTCAGCTTTTCTGATTATTTTGAAATTTTTATATTCGTTATTGCTGACTTCAAGTTCTTCAATTTGAAATATCTCTTTATTGCCAAATATTGATTGAAGGTGTTCCATGATATCAATGGTTGATATTTGGATATATAATACTAAGGCTTTTGGTGTAATCTTCGCTGGTTTGACCTTGCTTGTTTTGACGTCTGTTTGGGGACAGTATTATGGATGATATCAGTATTATCAGATGCTGGGCCCTTGTTTGTAACCAGATGGTGGTGTGTATTGGCAATTCTGCTGATGAATCTATTTTGTTCAGGTACTTGTGGTTTTACTGTGGCGGACTGTTTTCCCTGGGACACCCTGTATTTAAAATACTCTGTTACTATATCATTATTCATCAACAAATAGGTTGAAAATCAGAGGTGAGCAGTGACCACTTTGTGGATCTCCAGATGATGCTAATGATGTCAGACATACAATAACCAGTTTTAACTCTTTGTATTCTGTCACACAAGAAACTACCTAACCACTTAACCAAATGAATATTAAAGCCTATGTCTAACAGTTTTTGCATCAATACCTTATGGTCAACGCTCAAATGCTTTTGAAAAATCGGTATAAACAAAAACAACAACAACCTGTGCCCTATCTTCCAATGCACTCAATAGTGACGTCTAGTGTCTGGTAGGATAGCAGGTTTGTTACAGTGGACTTTCCTTCAATAAACCCATGTTGTGCTTCATTGATCAGACCTTTATATACAAATGTTAACTGATCACAAACCAGTTTATCAAATAATTTTGGTATAGAAGATTGTGTACAGATACTACGATAATTCTGCACACCATTTTAAAAGATTGCTTAGTTTTATATTGTAGCCTTGAGAAAGGAAGTAAAGATTTCCAAAAACTATACCCTAATTTGTCTTATACAACACTGCTTTCCCACTAGTTACCTATCTTGTTTAATCATGTGCCAGTCAAGAGTTATCAAGAAAATTTGAGAATATAAAAGGTCTGTTTCTGCAGAATTCACAAACCAGTCAAAGTGAATTTAATTGGTTGAAACTAGTTTTCTGACTGCTTCTGACTGTTTTCAACCAATGAGATTCGCTCTGACTGGTTTGTGATTTCTGCACTAATATGTAAATAATTCATATAAGATTTCAATATTGCCCATTCAAACCAATCTATTTTTTATCTGAAGACTGGGGCGAGTCAGCAAGCTTATATTGCTTATCAGCTTGCTTATCAATTGCTAGGTCTGCTTTTAAGAAATTTATTATCAAAGAATATTTTATTTTTAAGTTATAATATGCAATTATTGACTAAGAAAAATAGTCTATCACCTTTGAAAATTGTATTTTGAGACATAACAAAGAGAAGCAAGTGGGTAACATTACATACCATATTTGCCCTAATAAAAACTATAATTATTCACACTGAAGTCTATATTAGTATTTAACTATAAATGTATTTCTTCTACCAGGATACCCGTACTGGCCAGCAGTAGTATTGAAACCGAATCCACTATCTGTTTGCAAAAGTAAAAAGGAATCTTATTGGATATACTTTTTTGGCGCAAACAACTACGCTTGGGTCAATGTAAAATTCGTAAAACCCTATGAAGAAAATAAGAAAAAGTTTCTGGAAGGATGTTCAGAGAACATTTCAGTTGCGAACAAGGAATTAATTTCAAATAAAAGTAAATACTTAAGAATTGATTATTTTTATTATTTAATCCATGAAAATTCTTTTAGAAAGATTAGCGAGTGACCCTAATTATGAAATTGCGGTTATACCCTTTATTGCAAAAGAGAAGAAAACCAGAGCAAAGAGATCAAGATCTAGAGCTTCAAGTGCAGCGTCTGTACGGTCTCGTTCTTCTAGTGTAAGATCTCGTGCCTCAAGTGTAGTCTCAACTAAGAGCGGTAAAGTAAGGAGTGTTTGCCTGGATGGTCCTAGTCCAAAAAGAATGTAATTTTAATGTATGGGCAAATACTGTTTTCTGAACTATAATTATTTTTTTAGAAGAGAGGCAATTGAGTCTTACTCAAAAGTTTCTACAAAACATGTAGACCTCAGCACAGCAACTATAGGAATTCTAGTTTGCAATATATATGGAGAAGCTGCAGCGAGGGTAATAATAATTGCATTGATGTAGTACTCTTCTTATTGTTTTTTGTTTTTTCTAGAATCTAATTAACTTTGGTCATAATGTGGTTTGTTGGAGTCCTAGTAGAGCTGTATGCAAAAGACTTGTACTACATTCCCAGAGCAAAAATCAATATTTCAAAGTATATGGAAGTCCTAGACATGTGGTTAGTATTAAAGTTTGGTATTTTAGAAAATTTTGAAACCTTTTTCAGATGATACTGAAATAATACTGTAATACACCTAGTGATTGAACATTTGAAAACTTATGAACAAATTAAATTTGTGAAATGCATACAGTTGAATAATATTAAAACCAATTTGAAAACCAAATTACTAAAAATAAAAGCCGTAATTATGAACTGAAAAATAAATACATGCTAAGAATTTCATTAGTTAGAACAAAAAAGTGTCAGAACTCTCCATTATGTAGTGTCATCAGTGTTTTCAATCAAGTTCTAGAATATATTGTTAACCTGCAAAACTACAAAAAAAATGTGCAAGAAAATAAAACATCTGGTTAGAGAAAAATAAAAAAAAATTGAAAGGCAAAAAAAAAGAAAAAAAAATGAAAAAAGAAGAATAGAAAACTGAAAAATGAAAAAAATTAAAAATGAAGAATGAAAAATGAACTGTTATTGTATATTATCCATAAATCTCACTATTAATTAAGTATTAATTTATGTCAAAGTCTATATGCATAGAAAAATGTATAATTTCAATAATTGGTTTGGAAGATGTAGGCCCTAGTGCCAAACCAATTATGTAAGCTGGAAGTTTTTGAAAAAAAATATTGTTGATGCTATACAACTTCTCAAACAAATAAAAAAATTAATGTCTGATAATTTTTGTTAAAATATTTCAGGCCGAAGAATCATCACTGATTTTCAGCTTCATGTCCACTGAAAAGGAATTGAGCTCGATTTATACCGAACTAGGCCTCAACGATTCAAATAATAATTTAATGTCTGGCAAAGCCTACATAGAAATGTCGCAGATTGTGAAATTAGACAGCATTTTTGAAACCATCGGGAAAATGCAAACGAAAGATGCGAGATATATTGCAGCAATGGTAAGTTCAAATATATGAAAATGTTTTGACCTTTACATGGTATTTTAGGTTCAAGGGACAAGACAAGAATTCATAGATCGTGATGCAGTCTTGTTAATAGGTGGCGACTTCGAAGAGGTCATGAGAGAATTTAAATCGTGTTTTTTCGCGCTGGCAAAAGTAAGACATCCATTATTATTTTAAAACCCTGATACAATTATTATTAATTTATTTTTTAGGAATCTCGCTATATCGGAACCTTCGACAAGACTATAAAGCTCCACGTGGTGCAAAAAACTATTAAGGCCATGATGCTAGCTTCTCTAGTGGAATCATTGGTTGCGGTCGAACTGAAAACCCAAAACCTGGAACTATTTACAAAATATTTTGAGAAAATGGACTTTTATAATGAATACCTTGGAAGTAAGTTTAAAAATTGTACTTCTAAAAATAGTCAAATTTTGAGAGCATTGTGTTTACTTGTTTGCTCTATTCTCACTTTGCTTGATTCATATATATGCTTACTAAAAATTGATGAAAAACGGACAATTCAATAAACAATACACTTGAACCATGCCCTTAATTGAAATGTAACTTATTAGAAAAATAACCAAACTATTTTGTTTCAGACAACGTTGATGCAATCTTGAACAAAAGATTTAACGTCGTACAAGAGGACTACAACACTACTCAAGCATGTTTGAGGAATTCAATAGCGACATCCAATAAGTGGTCTCTATCTATGACACATACAGCGAGAACTAATAATATTTTCCAAAATGCCCGCCTTTCGGGATTCGAGGGTAAAGATGTTTGTTCTTTGTATCTTTCCTTGTGCGACTCAGGTTGATAGATTATGTTAAATTGAAACTAGAAAAGTCTGAGTATATTGATATAGGCAAATACACTAATCAAATACCATATGTCATTCATTAGGCTAATAATGGTTAGATCCCAAAGGAATTAAAAAATAGTTATAAATTAGGTATCGTCATAAGTTTAGTGATAAGTTGGAATGGTTTGTTATTACACATAAAATAGAGATGGAATAATATTAGCAGCCAAACATGAAAATTAAATTTAGTGTAATTTTAACCTATTTTAATTTGTTTAGTTTTTAGATCATGCTTTGTCAATAGATTTTTTTTCTTAGATAATAAAATATAATATGACTATGACTACTATTTTTAGTGTACTTGAATGTAGATGTAATTTTCGTAACAGAACTGATTTAAACACACCATTTTTTTTTTAATACAGGGTGTTCCAAGAAAGAGCACCTTTCAGTCTTGTGCTTTAAGGTCACAGAATTATTTGTGGTGAAAAATCAAAACCAACTTCTCTTGTAAGATTTTCCGTTTCCATCTCTTCCCGCCGTGAATTTCTAAAAAAACTTTCTTCCAAATATGACCCACATATCCAGACTCAGTCTCCGAGAGTCTAATTTTCAGGATATTCCATAATAAATAATGAAACCAAAAGAAAGTCAAATTCTGTTTATTTAATAATAACAGCAAAATACAAAGTTTTCTCATGTATTCATAAAAATCAATATTTTCCTCCAAAAAATTAAAAATAACCAAAAATTGTTTATCTTCTATCTGTTTTTCCAGTGCCTCGTTTGCCAGAGAACAAATGCTTAGGCATTTTAGTTCCAATAAATCTGTCAGCTTCACCCTTGAGACCCATCCTGCCCACCTTCTTACTGATCGCCCTGTGGGCAATCTGCGCCAACTTCTTTTTCATGGCAAGATCCTTGATACCTTGTTCGTTCCTTGGAGGTTTAACCATGGCCCTCGATTGGCTGAGCGATCTGTTAGTATCCATATCCATACGGGCTTTCTTTGCTACTGTACCTCCTACTACAGACCTGATTTTCTGTTTGGTTTTGGTAAAGTTTGCTTCTGTGCTTCCTGACATGTCAACACCAAGAGTTTCCATGCTCTTACGTAATTTTTGAACAGAACGGTCTCTAACCTATAACAAAAAAAAAAAAAAAAATTAATTATCTTAGGTCTATTTGAATTGACTAATTAGTTACCTTTGCTCCTGTGGTACGTGGTACAACAGGTTTTCTGCTCTGCTTGTTGATTCTAGCCTCGTCCTTGAGTATTGCCTTTTTGTGTCTGATTTGCAAAGCCAATTTTTTGATTTCTTGCATGGTTTCGTCCAGCTCGATCTTGGGTACCACATACATGCCAGTTTCTTCTCTGATTTCTTCTTCCTTTTCCAGTTCTGCTAACTTTTCGAATATTTCCAGATCAATGTAGTCGGCTATATTGTGACCTTCCCAGATTTCTGGTAGAATATCGTGTCTTTCATCTGAAAAGAATGGTTTATCGTTATTGTACTGGTAATTGAATTATACAGGGGGTCTCATTTTAAAAACTTAAACTTACTTCATAACTTAACAAAGAGATTGTATAGTTATTTGCACCAACCATTTTAAGGAAGCCTCAGTGATAAGTATTTTGAAAATGGTCAGTGCAAATGGTCATTAACATGTAAACTAAAAAATTTTGTTAGTGTTAAAAAATTTCGTCTGAACCACATCTATTGGTCAACCTACAATTTTCTTCAAGCAGCAAAATAAATCAAAAATGCAACAAAATATAAAACTTGTGTTCCGAGTCTAGCTATGAAATTGATAGGGTACCATTATAACACCATTTCCAACCCCTATGCAAAATCCCATTGACTCAAAGCCCGTCGAAATATGAAAAACTACCCTTAACAAATGAAAATGCATAAATATTGAGATTTTCGTATTTTTTTCTAACTTGGACTTCGAGTCTAGCTATAAAATTGATAAGGTACTATTTTAACACCATTTACAGCCCCCATACAAAATCCCATTGACGCAAACCCTGCCGAAATATGAAAAACTACCCTCAACAAGTAAAAATGCATAATATTGTGACCTCCACTGAAATACAGGCCATAATTCTTGTCACCATGCTGTTCTTTTGTGATGTGTGTGCTGGCTCAGTCAAACATTTACCATCATTCACACACATAATACCAAAAATTGAAGCTAAACTTTAGCAAGCCACATTACCGGTTCATCGGAATCCAAACTAAGCTGAGATAACATATGTGAAACACAGAGTTGACAAAATTGAAAATGAGGTTAAAACAACTATGGTTCTCTCAGATACAGTATCACAACCCGAAGTAGAACCTGGCATCTATGAGTTACAGAAAAGAGAGCGTGGGAAGGTAAACGTGTTCATATTTGCACTAAATGAAACTGAGGCAGATACAAGAGAAGGCAGGATGGAGAAGGAAATAAAGGCAGTGAGAGATCTTAGGAAGTCGGTGAACCCTAATACACCTCTCGCGGATATTAATACACTTCGGCTTGGCCAATTCACACCAGGAAAAGTTAGGCCAGTCAAAGTGATTTTCAACACGGAAGTAGATGCATTGTCCATCCTCAGATTCAAGAGTAAACTGGATAGAACAGGAAAATATTTAAAATATGACCAAACTAAAGCACAAAGAGCATACTTAGGCAAGGTAATACGAGAACTTGAGGAGAGGACAGCAAATGGTGAGATAAATATCAAAATCAAATATCATAATGGGACCCCAAAGATCGTCAAATTCAGAGAGGCCATGGCAAATGCTGGAGGCGGCCAAAAAATTCCCAATAATGTCTGAAGTTATATTTTACTATACAAATGCCAACTCACTAAACAATAAAATCCATGAATTTCAGACAGATATGCTCAGAAAGAACCCAACTTTCATTCTGGTTACTGAGACTCACTCATATGCCTACCTGGATATCATATGTTTAGGGATGAACGTGAGGACCAACGAGGAGGAGGACTCTGCATATGGATAAAAACTGAAATACGGACAAAAAATTTGCGCAAAAATAAACCACAAATATAGGGCGCCCACAGACATTAACGCTGTTTGGCTAAATATCAAACCCGCAGACATAAAGTTAACTCTGGTCTGTATATACACTATACAGTATACAGGCCTCATAATATCACATCGGAACAGAACAGGAGGCATCTGGACACTATCAAAGAAGCATTTGAGGAAAACATAGACGCTGTTATCTGGGGAGAGTTTAACTTCCCTGAGATTGTCTGGAAGTTAGATTAAATTACAACTACATTATCTACTAAATTTACTTTCCTCTAAAACATCCAGTCACTGGAACAAGACCGATGAACTGTTTATTTTGATTGAGCATTCAAATATGCCTACCTTTTTGTATTGTTGACCGAACATTGGTTAACAGAAACAGAGTTGTGCCAGGTTCGGGAGTATGTGATTGTCTTGAAGTATTGTAGGGAAAAGGGATACGGTGCAACTGTTATTTTGAGTCATAAGAACTTTTTGGCGGATTGTGTCAAGGAGTGCATAGATCAATATGATGACTTGATAATTCCCAAACATTTTGAGTTTTCTTTAGGATTTATAAAGTCCTTAGATATTTTTTTACTGTGTATACAGGTGTTTACTGTGTATATACAGACCTTCCTCTGGAAGCATGCCAATGTTTCTGGAAAGTCTCGAGTCACTTTTAAATAAGTTCCTACTCTCAGCAAAAATTATTCAGGGGAGCGATTTGAATATTAAATACAACGACCAAGAGTTCAATGATACAAGATCACTTATTGATTTGCTTTCGTCTTTGCTATTCGATCTTAAAGTGTTTGTTAACGAATCAACTCGAATCACTAATAAATCTGCAATAACCATTGATTAGGTATATTTGTAGTAAATTCGACCACAATGAATTGAATTGCCAAGTATTACCCCAGGACTTTCCGCCTACAAGGCTTTATCTGTGGAATTGATGCTTTCCTATGGTGCACCCAAGAAATGTCATGTGCAGCGTAGAATATTCGGCAAACGAAATTTTGATGCCTTTCGATCTTTGGCCAGTCAAATGAACTGGGATCAATGTCTAAATTCAACGGATCCTGTAGAATCATTTCAGACAAGGGTAAAACTTATTCTGAACAAATTTTACTTTGCACAAAATTAAAACAAAAACTAAAAAGGTTTGGCTAACTAAAGGTATCAGAGTCTCTGCGAAGAATTTGCGATTGTTGCACACAGTCAGGAAATTTACCGACTGTCAGGGTTTTATAAATTATTTCAATCAGTACCGGAAAATCTATAGACGCCTTATTAAAGTGGCAAAAAATGTTTACAATGAAGGTAGAATAAGTAATGCAGAGAATAACAGCAACAGCAGGGAATATTGGAGGATAATAAATGAATTGAGAGGTAAGGTAATAAAGTACGAAGTTTTAAATGATATAGGCACTCAGGAACTCAACTCCTTTTACACATCTGTTGCAGGAATTTTGTCTAAAGATTTGAATTCAAATATCGACCCACAATCCTTGTTAAGAAGAAGTATTTGAGTTTTATTCTCCCGCTATAATTAGTTAGTTCTGTTCACCTAGTTATTACCTATAGAACCTGTGATTATTAGTATTGTCATTGTAAATTGAAATTGTCATTGTCACGCGAATTTGTCACGTATCTTTTCATTATAGTTAGACTCATTTCACTGTGTTTTATTAAACCTCAATAGGTTCATCTAATAGGTTACGGTCCCAGTTCACGTGCGAGTCTAAAACATTAACTTTCGTCATTTTAAATCGCGTTCAAGTAGTGAGTGATTTTTATTTCCGAGAAATTACGTTCAAGTCGTAAAACAAATAAAGATTGTGAAAATGGCAAGTTCTGTGAAAATTGATACGTGCAGCATTCCGAAATTCGATGGTACAAACTTTCAGCTTTGGAAGTTCGGCATAACAATCCTATTAAAAGCTGAAAAACTTATGAAAATTGTTGATGGAACCACGAAGGAACCAGATGATGAAACTAGTGCCGAGTGGGAAGCTTGGGACACAAAAAACACCAAGGCGCAGGTAATTTTGTTATCAACAATATGCCAGGAACAAATGCAACATCTCATTAACTGCGATGACGCAACAAAAATGTGGAATAGGCTGATTTCCATTCATGAACAGAAAACAGAAATATCACGAGAGCTACTATGGCAAAAGTTTTATGAATATAAAATGCCAGACAATGGAAATATTGCCGAACACATTTCAGCTATTGAACTTTTAGTACGACAGCTAAAAGACGTAAAAGAAACTATAAGCCCTAGCGCTATCTGTTCGAAGGTTATAAACAGTTTACCATCTAGATTCAATGCATTCAGAACTGCTTGGGATTCCGTAGCCAGTAACCAACAAACGTTTGAGAATCTTTCTGCTCGTTTATTAAAAGAAGAAAGCCGCATGTCTCATGACGATTCCGAAATGTCTCGTCTTGCACTCGAAGTCAAAGCTCTACAAAGCAAATTAGAATATGTTACTGTAAATAAAAATAATCACAATAAGAAGAAAAATATCAACGATTTGAAGAAAAACTCGATTTGCAATTATTGTAAAAAGAAAGGTCATTGGATCAGAGAATGCCGCAAAAGATTGGCAAATCTTAAGAAAAATGACAGGTCTTCGACCTCAAATTCGCCTTCAAGTTCGTCAAGCTCCGCATTTATTTGTGATATTTCTTCTTTGTATACTGCAAGCTCCGATGTCGAAAAAGCTGAATGGATTTGTGACTCAGGTGCCAGCGTTCATATGACCAGCGAAAGAAATTTATTTACCAATTTACAAGAGGTAAATGAACCAATATTTGTCCGAATAGCAAATGATAAATTAATAACTGTTGCTGGAAGAGGCACTGTAGAAATTCAAGTCTTCGCAAACAACCAGTGGCAAAACAAAACAATGACAGATGTTTTGTATATTCCAGAGCTCAGCAGGAATTTATTTTCGGTGGGAGCAATGACAGACAAACATTTTACGTATCATTCATACAAAAATCATTGTGAGTTCCGCGATAGCCAAAAAAAAAGTTGTTTGTGTTGGATACAGAAAAAACAATCTATGGATCATGAAATTTAGAGTGAAGCCTCAACAGGAATGTCATGTAAGTACAATTAACAATTCATTAAAACTTTGGCACGAGCGTCTCGATCATGTTAATTGTCATTACATCAAGAAAACTTCTGAGCTAGTATCCGATTTAAAAATCACAGAAAAAGAGCCGTTTTTCTGTGAAAGTTGCCAGTTTGGTAAACAGTCAAAAGTACCTCATAAAAATCTGTCTGTAAAAAGAGCTGAAAGGCCCGGTTTTATGATACACAGTGATGTCTGTGGGCCTATGAATATTCCCTCGCCTAGCGGTTCAAAATATTTTGTACTATTCAAGGATGATTGTAGCGGTTACCGCATGGTTTATTTTCTCAAACACAAATCAGAGGTCTTAAGTAAATTTGTAGAATACAAGACACTTGTAGAGAATCAAACCGGTAACAAAATGAAAGTTCTCAAAAGCGATCAAGGCGGTGAATACATAAATAAATCATTTAAAGACTTTTTACAGAAAGCAGGTATTTCACCCGAATATTCAGCAGCCTATACACCTCAACAAAACGGCAGATCGGAAAGAGAAATAAGAACCATTACAGAATGTGCCAGAACCATGCTTATCAACAAGAACGTCTCTCAAGAATTATGGTCCGAAGCGGTAAATTGCGCGGTATATATTCTGAACAGAACGGCAAACACTCAAATTGATAATATGACCGCATACGAGAAGTGGTTTGGCCGCAAGCCTACGTTAAAACATGTCCGCATTTTTGGAAGTATCGCTTACATGGCAATACCAGATCAGTTTCGCAAAAAGTTTGAGCCAAAATCCCGAAAATTATTGTTAGTAGGTTATGACGGTCATTCATCCAATTATAGACTTTGGGATCCTGAGAAACGTAGAATTGAAATCAGCTGTAATGTTAATTTCAACGAAAATGACCAATTTTCACCCAAAAAGGAAACATTTACCCTCTATTTTGACATATCAGAGAATTATGAACCACAAAATGAGACACTCGAAGTACCAGAAAATATAGATGAAAACAACCCTAGCGAAGAAATTACAGAAATAGAAGAAAATGCCGAAGAATATTTGAGTGATGAAGATTATCAATGTGAAGAAAATTTTGAGTTGAAAGATGAGAATAGAAGAGAATTAAGAGATAGAAGCAAGTTGTCAAGACCCAATTTTTATACTGCCTATGCTAATTATTGTTCACTTTCCGAACCTACGACATACAAAGAAGCCATCAGCTGTGAAGATTCTGATAAATGGCGCCTCGCTATGCAAGAAGAAATAAACGCATTAAAGAGCAACAATACGTGGGACTTAGTAACATTACCGAAAAACGCGAAAATCGTTGACAATAAGTGGGTGTTTCGTATCAAAATATCTTCTGACGGCAAACCATCGCGCTATAAAGCACGTCTTGTCGCGCGGGGATTCACACAAGAAAAAGGGGTGGACTATCAAGAGACTTTCGCGCCGGTGATACGATACGATTCTATTCGAATTCTGCTTGCATTGGCAACCGAACATGACATGCATATTTCTAATTTCGACGTACAAACAGCCTTTTTGTACGGCGATCTCTCGGAGTGTGTGTATATGAAACAGCCATCGGGGTTCGAAAACCAAAAGAAACCCGGTTTAGTGTGCAAATTAAACAGAAGCCTTTACGGACTAAAGCAATCAGCACGATGTTCGAACCGTAAGTTTGTTTCATTTTTAAATCAGTACGATTTTAAACAATTAAATTGTGTATTTCTTGGTCACTTTGCTGAGAATGAAATTTATCTGGCTATTTATGTCGACGACGGTCTGTTGATGTCAAAATCAAAAATTGCTATATCTGGACTTATTAATATTTTGAAACAGATGTTTAAAATCGTTGTAAATTTGAACAGTTCAAAACTAAATTTTGTTGGTCTTGAAATCGAACAAAATTTATCTGACGGTATAATTTGCATTCACCAACAAATGTACATAACTAGACTTGTAAATAAGTTTCAAATGAGTGATGCCAAACCCTTATCAGTTCCTGCGGAACCGAGTATTCTGTTGTCATTACCTGAAAATACAGTGTGTGCAAAAAAGCATCCTTATCGCGAAGCTGTCGGTTCTTTGATGTTTTTAGCAACGTGTAGTCGACCAGACATTTCTTTCGCAGTGAATCAAGTGAGTCGATTTTATAATAACTGGCAAGATGAACAGTGGCAAGCGGTTAAACGCATATTTCGTTATTTAAAGCTCACTGCTCATTATAAAATCGTTTTCTCTAAATCGCCAAAAATAAATCTATTCGGATATACAGATGCTGACTATGCAGGTTGTATAGACACACGAAAATCAACCAGCGGTTACGTTTTTGTTCTTGCAAATGCACCGATCACCTGGAAGTGTCAGAAACAAACCGTTGTTGCTCAGTCTACCACTGAGGCCGAATATTTAGCGTTATCACTCGGAGTACGAGAAGCTTTATGGCTGAAGTCTTTTCTAAACGAATTAGGAATAAACTTCCCACAAGTAAAAATTAATGTGGATAACCAATCAGCCATAAAACTAGCTCAGGCTCAGCAGCAACATAGAAGAACAAAACATATTGACATTAAAGTGCATTTTGTGCGTGACGAAATTGAAAAAGGTAACATTTCAGTCAATTATGTAAATTCTAACGAACAATTGGCAGATATTCTCACAAAGCCAGTTACAAAGACTGTTCTGAACAATTGCCTTCAAAAATTAAACATGTTATTGTAGTTTTAGTTTATATCCGAATGTATTTTTTTTGAATAATGTTAATTCTTCTATAAAACACAAATAGGTGGGAGTGTTAAGAAGAAGTATTTGAGTTTTATTCTCCCGCTATAATTAGTTAGTTCTGTTCACCTAGTTATTACCTATAGAACCTGTAATTATTAGTATTGTCATTGTAAATTGAAATTGTCATTGTCACACGAATTTGTCACGTATCTTTTCATTATAGTTAGACTCATTTCACTGTGTTTTATTAAACCTCAATAGGTTCATCTAATAAATCCTACCTGCAACCAATCTCACACACAGAAAGCTTTGGATTTAGATTAACAAACCAACATGAAATTAAAAGAATTTGCAAGGATATTAGAAGCAGAATGCATCCAGCACTGACTAGGTATATACCTACATATCTGTAAAAATTTTGAAGAATTTGCCAGACGCGGCGATAGCAGGTTTGGCATTGGCAATTAATAGGTCACTGAGTAAAGGTAGGTATATTTCCCCCTTGCCTAAAATAGCAATGGTGATATTGATTTTTAAGGGAGGCGGTAAGCACAAATCCGGCAAACTTTAACTATCGTCCTATTTCATTACTGAGTACCCTGCCAAAAATTATTTAAAAAATTGTTAAGGAGTAGCTTCTTAGCTATTTAACAAGAAACAGCATCCTCAACCAAAACCAGTTTGGGTTTCAGAGGTCAAAAAAACAAACGACGCCATATTTTCATTTCTCGAGGAGTTGTACCTTTGTCTGAATGGGTCCGAGGTTGCTGCAGTGGTGTGTTTTTTTTTAAAGATAATTCCCCAAGTCAAAAATTTAGTAACTATGTTGGCAACACAAGCCTTTTCTACATAAAAAATTTGAAAGCATTGACAATTTTACATTGTATTGCCAACATAATGTCAGTTTGACTTTTATCTTTTAAAAAAAAACGCACTTTACATATATTGAGACTTTCCTATTTTTCATATTTTGACAGGGTTTAATAAGTCAATGGGATTTTGCATAGGGGTTGGAAAAGCCAAAAGGTATTAAAATACTCTATCAATTCAATGGCTAGACTTGATGTCTAAGTATGATTTATTGGATTTATTTTAAATTTTAGAAAAAATGGTACGCCAATGGGCATTTGGGTGTTTCCATCAAATTGGCTGCCAAGTTTTTGCTACGTTTTTCCCCACTTGGTGAATCTGTTCAGATTGTTAACCAGAAATTTGCAGAGAATTTAAATGGTCTTATTCAAGCCTAATAATTACGTTAAAATCCAATACCTATAAATTTTCAAAGTTGTGAGCGGCAAACTGTGAGGTCCTGTGAATGTCATTTTGGAAAAAACAAATTTACAAAAACAACATTGAGGGATATTTTCTTTTTTCTCTGGGAAAAATGTTGGAAGAAATTGGATTGAAATTTTGTAAATTAAATACTTACAGAGGAAAAAGATTGAAATTGAGGAAAAAAAAAAAAAATCTTTCAGTTGCTTAATTTGATAAAAATTAAAGCAAAGTCAAAAGACTTTGAAGCTTCAAAGATGCAAAGCTATTGAAACTATTCAATAGACAGGTTGAGAATTGAATTGACCTTAAATTGAAGCTTGAAATTTGAGAAAAATTAACTTTCTGTTTGTTCTCTTTGATTTTTTGACTCTGAAGCATGGCATCTGCAAGCAAAACTTATTAAAACTGTTAACTTTTTTCACAAATATTTTTATTCCAAGCTCTTTTTAGAGAAGGAAAACAATTGAAACATAAAGAAAATTCAAGAGCCTGTGATAAACAAAAAATGAGCAATGGACTAAAAAACAAAACCTGTTACATGTTCAAAAATCCTTGGATCACCATTTTTTTTTTTAAATCAGAGAATAACTTGGATACCTATATTTAATATAGTTAACTCAAGTATATTTGGTCTCATAAAAGCAAAAATATGACTCAACCACCCTGTATAAAAATAGGCATATAAGCTAAAAAAAAAAGGACAAAAATTCTCACCTTCTGGAATATCAGTATATTCCTTAGCCAAATCCACAATATAATCATCGCCTTCTTCCACTTCAAAGTCTCTGGCCAATTTACGTTTTCTTTTGTCAGCTTCCTGTTGTTTCTTGATTAGCACATTTTCCGGAATACAAGGAGGCCTTTCTTTGTTGTCTCTAGGTTTTGGCATGGCCACATGAAGTCTGTTCAATACCCCATCAACCTAAAGAAAAGTTAGTAAAAAATATATCCAGCAGGCAAAATCTTTCTTACTTTTTTGCTCCTCATCTTCTGATCTACTCTAAAACTGAGCAACTTTTCGCAAGACTCTATTTTCACTTCCATCACCCCCTCATCGGTTATAGTGGACATTTCCATAAAACTGATTTCATTATCTTCTTCAATTTCCTTCAAAACAGCTCTACGTTCTGGGCTCAATTCCTCCAATTTAACAATATCAGTTTTGTTGGCAACAATAATCAAAGGTTTGTTAGCAAAAAGTGGTTTAATTGACTCAAACAATTTGACTTGTTCATCTAGGGTATGACCACATTGTTCGGATAAATCCATGAAATACAAGACACAAGCTCTTAAATGGGCTAAAGCAGTTACAGCTTGCATTTCAATTACGTTTCTTTCTTCCAAAGAATGATCCAAAATTCCTGGAGTATCAATAACTTGCCAACGTAAATATTTATAATCTGTGTGTCCAACATATAAACTTTTGGTGGTAAAGGCATAGGGTTGTACTTCGACATCAGCCCTAGTTATTTTATTGATAAACGAAGATTTGCCTACATTAGGAAATCCACAAATGATAATTGTTCTAGTGTAAGGATCTATAGAAGGCAACCTAGCCAAATGCTGCCTCACTTGTTCCAAATAAGTCAAATTAGAGCCTTGTCTTTTCATTATGGTGGCCATACGACCCAATGCAGCTCTTTTAAGTTGTTTGCAACGATACAAAGAGTCACCATACTTCAATAATCTCACATAATCCTTGGCGACATTATCAATTAAATGCCTTGCAGTGTTTGTTTGACCCAAAGCTAATTTGTAATGGTCCTTGTCGTAAAGGACGTTCATCAAGTCAGCATAAAATGGATGGACATCGTCTAGTTTGGGGAACTCAGTTAGAATTTGCGTTAAGCGATCGTGAAAACTTTGTTGGGCAAATTTGACTTTGCGCATATAAAATGCACGGATCCTAGTGATTTTGTATTGCTTGTGAACTACTGTGGGAGTTTTTCTTTGGGTTTTAGACAAAATTATATCGATGAAGTCCTAACAAATATACAAAAGTGAGGTTAAAATTTCGATTTAAACATGTTTTGCAACTTTTACCTTTGAAGTGGGCACCACCGCGATTTTCTTGAAGTTGTAGAGCGACATTTTGGCACTGTTTTATTCGAACAAACTTAATTGAAATTATTTAACTTGTTTTTTAAATATTTTGTAAATTTTCGCATGTGCCCTCTGACACATGGAAAATTTGAAAGAAATTGCGTATTATTGGCAACACCGCAATTGTCAAATGCAAACGTCGGCATTTGTTAACTCGTGGCAACATTGCAAATTAGACAAAACTTGTTGGTAAAACAGTAAACTTCTGTAACTTTTGACAAGTACTGTCACTGTCACTGTCAAAGTAATCCAACGCGGAAATCGGCGTCTCCATTTGGCATTTTTATTTGTTTCTGTGCAGGAAATGAGAAAGAAAAATAATTTCGTTGATGAAGAGAAAAATCCCTGTTTAAAAGAGTCGCAATTAACTATAAAGTGCTACGAGCGTCATAGTTACGATAGAGAAAAGTGCTTTTTCGAGATAGAAAACTACAAGGCCTGCAAAAAGTTCTGGGTGAGTAAAGTTATAAATAAATGAAAATTATCTTGGCTGATGCCAAATTCTTTTGAAAATTTGGCTCCAAATGTTTGTTTGGTAGGTTTGTTTTGTGTTTAATGTTTTGTTGAGTTTTCAATGTTTTGTTGACTTCTCTGTTGATTTGTTTCGTTGCGCTTGGCTGATTGCTGATTATAAGCCTATATGCATAATATTGAATTGTTTTGATATATTGTTGCCTAATTTTCATATCGTAGATCCAATTTTTCAGGTTACAATCCATTAACTAGTAACTAAGTACCGAGCTGCTTTCTTTGGGACCGGATCACCTGATCACAATGCGATTATTTGTTAAACATAAACATAATCTTTATTCATGCGCAGTGTTCATGCTGATACACCTACATCATAGTGTTTACATACGTCAGGAGGAAAAAACATTTGATACAATATTTAAGAGAAGTTGAAAACAATTTCTCCAGAACTAGCTAATGAATATTCTATACAATATTGAACAGAGTACCTGTATACTATTTATAATAATTCTTATGTTATACTATTTATATAAACATTTGCTAAGTGCAGCTACAAGATGTCTGAGAAGTTATCTACATAAAACTCGTCAACCAAGTAAAAGCATTTTTTTATTAAGTAAGTTTTAACAATGATAGAAATTTTTTTAGGAGGTAACACCCTCACAGTGGCAGGCAGGGCGTTGAATAATTTTGGTCCATAGAATGATGTGCCTGTTTTTATTTTGTTTATTCTGTGATAATCTGTATAAATATCTACTCTGTTCCGTGTGCTGTAAGAATGTACGCTCTCATGTGTACAATATTCTTCAAGATGTTCCCTTGTATAGCCTATCTTACACATAGCTCTTATGGCCTTACATTGTAGACGAAACAATCTTTTAATATTTGGAGAATGGCCCCATTCTAATATTGCATAAGACATTCTAGACTCTATGAAAGCGTGATAAATATTTTTTAGTACCACTTCAGAGACCACCCCGACCAGATTTCTTAGTGCAAAAACGCCAGAGGCTACTCTATCACAAATTTTATCTACATGTGTATTCCAAGTCAATCGCGGGTCTATGTAAACGCCTAAAAAACGAACTGCCTCTGACATTTCAAGACCTTCCAGATTTCTCATAGAGTACATAATCTCTGTCTTTGTTTTGTTGAGATTGAGTTGGTTACTGTAGAACCATTCAGAGACACTTGACTGTGTCTGCATCATGATCACCTTTAAATCATCTCTTGAGTGAGTCCTTTTTATTGCTGTAGTGTCGTCCGCGAACAACACCATTTCAGTACCAGGAACACTGCTCTCCAGATCGTTGACATATATCAGGAAGAGCAGTGGTCCCAACACCGAACCCTGCGGCACTCCATAAAAAACCTCCTGCAGCTCAGACAATCGACCACTACAATCAACAAGTTGTTTCCTATTACTTAAGTACGAAGCCATCAGATCTATACTGCTATTATTGAATTTGTATAATTTTAATTTGTTTATTAGTAATTGTGGGGAGACACAGTCAAATGCCTTCGTGAGGTCACACAGCAGTGCACCAACATATTCTCCTTCGTTAAAACCCTCATTAATAAATTGTATTAGTTTATTTATTGCCAGTGTGGTTGAAAGCGAACTTCTAAAACCATATTGTGACTTATTAAACAGGTGGTTAGTTTCAAAATATAAGACTAGTCTTTTTTTGAGAATCCTTTCAATAATCTTAGAGAATATAGGTATTATGGCTATCGGTCTATAATTATCAAGCTGATTGGTGGGGCCTTTTTTGTGTACTGGTACCACTCTAGATATTTTCAATACATTAGGGAAGATTGCATGCCTGATACACATGTTTATGAGTCTTGTTAAAGGAACAATAATCTGATTCACAATGTTTTTTATTATTTTTATATTAAGACCATAATAATCTTTACTGTTTTTGTTTTTAAGTGTTTTTATTGTGTCACGAACCTCCACCTCTGAGACTAATGTAAATTCAAATTCCAAAGCATTCAATTTAGATTTTATAGGTTCAATATAGCTATTGGCAAAATCGCAAGATGTTTTATTTGTTTTTGGTATATTATTGATAAGCGTATGAGATATACTTGTGAAAAAATTATTTAAATCATGCGGAGTCAGGTCACTGTCCCATGATGATTTATTTTTTGTTAAATTTATATTATTTTTAACAACATTCCATATAGCCTTAGGTTTAAAATTGTAATCTTTTAAATAATTGTCATTAACACGTTTTTTGGCTTGTTTTAATTCAGTTCTGTAATACTTAGTGTAATTTTTGCAAAGCAGAGTTGTTTCTTCAGTTTTGTATTGTTTAGCTAGGTCTCTGTAAAATTTTAAAGTGTTTCGTTTATTTTTTAAATCGTTATTAAACCAGGGAGTTGTTGATCATAATTCATAATCATGTTGCGCATTTTTGAGTTTGACGTTAGCCAATCATGATTCAGAAAATTCTGAACACACTGGTACATTTTTTAAAAATTTGTTTGAAGTTTGGACCTTGAAATTCTAACTTATTTTCAAACTTTACTTGTTTTGATTTATGTTATGTTTTATTTTATTTTAAAACGACTTAGGGACTCGTCAGGGGGTAATATCAATCAGAGTTGGGCAGGACTTGAGTGCTTTGTGCTTGTAAAAGTGCTTGAAGCACTTTGAGAACTTGAAACCCTTGTGCTCCAACCGCTTTTATATATTTGTAATTGTGGGGGTTGCAAATTTAATTACTTCAGAATAGTGCTTGGTAATTTGTAATTGAAAAATAGTACATTATACACCTAGGGACCTGAGGTGTATACATTATTTTATGCACTTTACTTTATTTCCCAGGGATTAAATAAAACAGGGAATAAAAGGGTACTTTTAATCCAAGTTTTAATCCCTGGGAAGTGAAGTAAAAATTTAATCCCCAGGAAATAAAGTGAAAATTTAATCCCCGGGAAATGAAATTTAATCCTGGGGATTAAAAGACCCACTTTACTCCCTTAAAACGGGGATTAAAAGGGTACTTTTAATCCCTGAAGTGCATAAAACTAATTCAAGCCCTTTCAATGAGCTTCAAATACTTTTAGAGGGCTTGAAGCACTTTGGAATTTTAAAGCACTTTAAAAGGGCTTGAAGCACTTTGAAGGGAATTTGAATGGACCATCATTTAACCTATCCCCCACCTAAAAATTTTGGATCAATGTGTCTTACTGTCTTGTCGCTTAATTCTTTTTTTTATTACTTGAACTCGAGCCATCCAATTTCTTTTCTCGGTAATTATTTACTATAGCCCCTTCATCTAATTAGGGAATCCAAACCACGTAACTTTTGCCAACCAGCCGGCATTTTGAAATTTTTGTGAGGTTAGAATACGGGTTGTTACATGTCAACGATGTCAGAAAAGTGTCAGATTTGAGTACTCGCCCCGTGTATTGATAAAGCCTTGTACTCATAATCGCGAAATTCGCTCTTTTTTTGACATTGCTTCGACAATTTGACGTTTGATTCACGCATAAAACGTCAAATTGTCGAAGCAATGTCAAAAAAAAACGAATTTCGCTGTTATGGGTACAAGACTTAATCCTGCCAAAAAAAAAATGTCTTTTTTGTTTATTGTTTGCCAACCAGACGCCATTTGGACAGGTCGTTGGATTGCCTAATATGACACTATTGATTTGTTTCATGATTATGTTAGACTCTTAATAAGGGTTTTTAATAAAAATTATTTGGCGCAAATGTATCAATTATAAAAAAAACTTAACTTTTTTTTGAAGGTGATTTTTTAAATAATAGGGAGTTTTCGTTGCTCACAAAATGCGATTCCGGTTAACGCTATTTGACAACTTTGACATTCGAATCTCGTTTGTCGTATATGTATATCGTAACCGCTGAATGCCGGTATTGTACGGACGGTAGACATAGCCATTAGTTGTATTCCTTTCACACCTAGGAGGAGCTCCGGAACAGCTCCGAGGCTTCACGCCGTTATTCCTTTCGAAAAGTGTTTGTTGCACCACGCATCTGTTCCCTGCAAATAGGGGGCTTCTAAACACCGGAGCGAGTAGCTCGAGTGTTTCAAACTCTTGAAAGGAATACAACTATTAACGTAGCGAAACGCATGCGCAGTACACAAATAAAAAAAATCATAACCTTGATTCAGGTGACAAATTGTCAAGTTGACCCAAAACACACCCAAAAGCTTTCAAAAATGGGTATATTGAAAATAAATGAAAAGAAGCAGAGTTCGTTTTACAGAAAAAAGTGACCAAATTTCAGTAACTTCACTAACCACCCCAGCAAAATACAAATTCCTGGGATTTTATGTGGATCCTTGTATTAAACTCATTTAGAATTCTGACTACTTTCTACAAATCTGAAGATATGGTTTTCTTTGAACCGAAAATAAACTTTACACTCGTTTGCTGACCATATATCTAGGTTGAACCTCCCCTAAAGATCGCCTCTGTATTTCATGTTGTTTCCCAACACTTCCAACAAAATTGCCTCTTCAAAATTAGAATCTGAATCATCCCTGGAGTCCAATAAAATAAATTCATCTATCATTTTATAGCAAAATGTACAGAAAAACAGTAGTACAATAAATCTATATGAGAACTAAACAAAAACAAGATATACAAAAACCAAATGAAAACGAGGCTGGGGGCTACGCTGTCAACTTTACTTGACTTTTTTTTTGGGGTTATATTTATAGTTTACGGTAACGGTAAGCGGGTGCCGTTTCTTGCTTCGAAAACTGTTTTTTTCACGTTTTTTTTTATCCCTCAAATAGCGGCTATGGCTACGTATTCGTTAACCGTAGCGTTGAAGTTTTCAAGAGCAACGAAAACTCCCTAATTACCCCTAAGTAATAGGGTAGTGGACAAGGTATAATTTCAATGGAATCGATGATCTATTGTTCATCTATGGAGTAAATGAAAAATATTCCTATTGGAAGAAATTTCAGAAAAAATTGCTAACTTTGTTTAAAACGATTGTAAAAGTACAGTATTGGGACGGACTACATAGAGAAATAATATAATATGTAGTAGTAAACTACGAGAGAAGTTTGTTTAATGTAAAAATTTGGAAGTGTGTTTGTGCGCAGACTCGTAGCCCATTTCGCATGGTGTGGTAGATTATTGAAATAATTACTTCAATCGTTTCTGACAACTCGGTTTAATTTGTCTTTGTCGAGGTCTTTGTCAGCAAATTGCCCGAAAATTTTCTATCTTTTTTTAACACATACAAAATACAAAATTTGACGATTGAATCAATCAATCAAAAACTGAATGCTCATCATCATACTTAACGTAAAATTTCTTCTATTATTAGAGAAATGAGAAAACATTCTGTGATCATAAATATTAATTACTTAGACAAAACCGACACCAATAATAGTGTGTTTTCGAATTTGCGATGATGCGAGATGCAGTAAAAAGGTAAACACAAAACCTAATACAAACATTTTTAGTTACTGTATATATTTATAAAATTGGAATAAAAAAATAAGTTTTCCACACGATTTTTTTATTGTTAAAAATGAAGATATTTAGGATCAAATAAATGATTTATGTTTTGTCCAAATAAACTGCCATCATGATTTTAAATTTCAAATTATGTCAAAGTCAAAATTTGTATAAAATAGTGCGTGTGAATGATATATTTCATTTTTTGTAGGGCGAAGTTGGTGCATTCAGAAGAAGTCAAGGTACCTATCCTGCATTACCTCCTCTAGCAGAGCGTGAAAGAGTAAAGAGAGAATATTTGGCTTCAAAAAAGAAGCAATAAGATTTTTTATTTTGTTGTCTGTTATTGTCAAATAGAAAATGGAAACGGAAAGCTGTACTTTTAGGGAACATGATTTTGTTTGGGCTAAAATGGCTGGTAAGTAATAATAATGATGATTGATGATTTGTTTTATTTTTTAAGTTTATTATTGATAATAATTGTTCTTAGGTTACAATCACTGGCCAGCCATAGTTATGACACCAGATCCATACGCGCCTGTGAAAACAACAAAAGACATGCAATGGATCTATTTCCTAGGCACTCACAATTACGCCTGGATTGAAGACAAGAACATCAAACCTTATGAGGAATTCAAACAACAATTCAAAAAAAAAAGCACCGAATCGGCCATGAAGGAAATGGAAGAGATAATCGCAAATTTGGCAAAAGATCCGGAATATAAAATAACATTCATCAAATACGTATCAAAGAGGCCAAGCCCGAAAAAAAGCAAAAAATCAATAGGAGGGACTCCAGTTGTTAGCAAGAAAAGGCCTATGCCATTGAAGGAGAAAAACACTCCTGCGCCCAAAAAGAAAGCCAAATCTTCCATGTCTGCTTCATCGATTGATGCATTAAATACCACTCAAGAGGGACCATTAGTAGAAGATGGACTTGAAAAACTTAAGTCAGTCACTTTGGATACAGTTAATTTGGGTACTTCAGATAAGTTTTTTGGAATTTTGGCTGGCAACACTAATTATGCTGAAGGGATCATCAGGGTAAGAAAATGGTTTCGCATGAAGCTATTCCTCAAATTACTTTTTTTGCAGAATTTGATCTCCTCTGGGCATAGACTTTTTGTATGGAGCCACAGCTCAGTCATGAACGAAGAGTTGCGGGCTTATGCAGAGCAACAAGGGGCTTTTTTCAGAATTTGCCCTACTCCAAAACAAGTGGTAAGTTGAATTGAAATCTCTGTATAAGTTTATGGATTAAAGATTGCATTTACTACTTTTCCAGCTTAGAAACGCTGAAATAATCTTCAGCTGCCTCTCAGATCCTGAAGAAGCCAAAATTATAATAAACAGTCTGGGGGTTCTTGATAACCTTGACGAATCCATCAATGGCAAGGGCTACGTTGAGTTGAGTAGCATAGGTCCCGAGTTGTCTCTAGACTTCAGTGAGATGGTTACTAAGAAAGGCGGCACCTATTTGGAAGCAATGGTAGGTTTCAAAAAAAAAAAAAACATGTCCAGCTAATTTTATAATAAATAAATTATTTTCAGTTGCAAGGAAACAAAAAAGACGCCGATAAAGGGGACTTGATCGTGTTGGCAGCTGGACCACAACAGCTTTTTGTTGATTGCCAGTCCTGCTTCAAAGCTATGGGAAAGGTAGGATCTTCAACAATATTTAATTAAGTTGTGAATAAAGTTAAGTGAGCGCAAAAATTCAGTTAGATATTGTCAATATTTAGACTTAATTTGTAGCAAATATTACTATAAAAATATAAAAAGGATGAAACAAATATCTGTCTGCGTTTTACGAGGTAATACAACAAAAGCATTGTAGGCAAATTTCTTTTACTTTCATTCATTTTGTCATTGAGAATAATTTCCAGCAAACTGAATATGACAGTTTTAGTAATTTTTATTATAATTGATATACTTGAGAGCTTTTTATTATTGAAATCTTTACAGTATCCCTTGAAAAACAAACGGTCATTCTCAAATCTTTCATATTTCTGCCCTAAAATTTCTAAATTCTTTTTTAAAACAGGAACTTTTCCTGTCTTTCGCTTGTAATATTGAATTTGAATGAGTACATATTTTTCAAAAATCTTTTCTTTTCAGGCATCATTTCTACTAGGCAAAATAGGCTCTGCTTCCAGCATCCACATGATATTCCAAATGATGAAAGGTGTCCTTGTGTCGGCCTTAGTGGAGGGCTTTGCAATGGCCGATCGTTGCAGCATCAAGCTCGACGCATTTAATAAAGTTTTCAATATGACACAAATGACCAGTGAATACTTAAAAAGTAAGTGTAATAATCAGTCTTGTATCATATTTCAGTAAGAAGTTAATTTTTTCTTAGGGAGGTGCGATGTTATTGTCAACAAGAACTTTGTCGAAGCTGAAGAACCTTTGCAACAGTTGCAACAGGATTTGCGACAAGGGCTGGAAATGTCTGAGAAAATAAAACAACCGATGCGTCTGGCATCCAGCGCCAATGAACTATTGAAACTCTCACGTAGAATGGGCGATGATAACCAGGATACCGCATGTGTCTATAATCGCACCAGATACTAGACAGTGTACGTTTTTGTTGTAGTAGTAGAAAAATACTTCATTTTATCATTGAATCAAGTTATACTTTATAAATGTTTTTGAGTTTATTGAAAATTACCAGAAACTAGAAAAGTTTAGTTTTGGGATGTAAATGTAACATAATTATGTTTGAAAATTAGATAACGTCTTAGTTTTTGCATGTATGTACATTGTTATGAACTATAATTTATACATCTAAATCCTTATGTATGTACATATTTCATGCTTTGATTGAATCAAAAATATTCAAAATTAAAACTTTCTGGTTTTAGTATTTTTCATTATTTTTCGTATCATATTTTGTTAAGGAATCGCAAGTTAATATTTAGTAGTATACTTTTTGTCGCCATTGAGTTCAATCAATAAGACATTGTAAATAGTTGTTTATTTTAATATAATACATAGACCCAACTACTATGTAGTAGTTAAGTCTATGATACATGAAGGTACATTTTATCAGAAAAAACTTTAATTTAATTAAATATTTTTAATAATGGAGTAGTTTAGGAATTAGAAGTTATATTGAAAGAAATTTATGATTTAATAAAATTATCACAAAATAGTAATTTTTTCTTATTTATTGGGAAAGAATGATCCAGGATCGACTAATAGGGCTATAAAACCAGTCAAGTAACCTAGAAAATAGTTAAATAGGCACTGCAAAAATAATGAGCTAAAAAGACGATGTTTTACCTTTATAAAAAATCCCGAGAAAAATAAATGTAAGAAATGTCAGTACGAAAACTACCCTGAGAATGATGCCCAGGGAGTGTGTCAACAGCATTTGTGTAGCTTGATTTTTTTCATGAAGCAAGATATAATAATGTTGCTGGGAGCAAAATAAAGCCCATAAGTCAATCGAAAAATAGGAAAATCACGGCAAGAATATACGAAAATATCGGGTCTTCAAAAAAAAAACCAATCAAAGATTGCTTTGACTACGAAAACGTACGTCGCATTATTGTTTCTTCATTGGTCTGGATTTTTGACATACCATTTTGACATTGAAGTTCACTGACAAAATTAAAGAAAAATATTGCTGAGACATACGTTCAAAAAATCATAGCAATATTCGATTGTTTTTTTTTTTGAAGACCCGATATGACCATAAGATGATTAAAGTGTGACCTTGTTTACTTAAATGTTATCAGTCCAATAATAAAAATTAGGTAATCATAAATATTTTACTCAAAATAATACAAATTTTTGTATAAATAATTGTTTTAGGAGTTCTACAAATCTAAAAAATAGAACGTCCAATGGTTATATTTTTTAGAAATTTGATATCTTTCCAAAATTACCTGCAGTAAAAGACTTTTTGCCTCACTACTATGTTAATTTCTATGCGATCCTAATGTAATTAGGCTTAAACTTAAGGTGCATTAAATCGTCTAGTAATTTCTCATCATGATAGCAGTTCCAATGAAGCTTCAGCAGTTTCGCAGAGTGGGAAATATAAAAAAATTATAAAATTACTATTGTTTTTATCATTTCACTTCTTTTCATTCTCATTTTATTCGTTCAATTTTTGTTTATTCCAGATTCTTGAATTTCATTTCCTAGATAAAAAAACAAGGAAAATTCCACTGTTTTATGAAGTTTATGGAGAAGCCGTAGCGTAGTGTGTACAAATGGTACTTTGTCAGAAACCTTCTCAAAATCCAGGTCAAACACATCAGAGGACTTGCCAGAGTCATTCGATCCTGTCCAGTTATGAAATTTAGTAAGCAGGTTTGTGAAGGTTGGCCTTCCAGAAAGAAACTAATGCTGGGTGGATGAAATGATGTAATATCCAAGCAGAAATCCAGCCATCCCAGACACCAGGACCTAATTCTGCATGCAATGGCAAAGGGAGATTGTCAAACTAATGAACCTGTAGTTTACAGGAAGTTGTTTGTTGCTTTTTTTGTAGATGGGACTTTACAATTGTATTTTTCCACTCCCTAGGTAGTTTGCTTTGCTTGAGGAGATTGTTCATCATGGCCAAGACAGGATCTGACACAGGAAAATGGTCACTATAGAATGCGGATTCAGTGATTTGAGGATAGTTTCTAGTTCCTAAGGTGTGAAAGTAATAATTCCCAATGCATTAGATTAGCAAATCAATGTGACGGGATCCAAGTTGGGCATATGGCTTAGATCTTCTCTTATAAAAACACTCTGAAACTATTTGGCGAACGAATCAGCAACTTCCTTCTCATCATTCATGATTGATCATCCTTTGCTTGATTGGAATGAGAGAGAAGATCGTGGATCATAATTATGGGTGATGCTGGAAAATTCCTGATGTAGATGTCTGTTGATAAGTTCATATAAATCAGCAGATTCATTTTGTAAATCTTATTTAATGGTTTTGGGGTCACTTGGATTGGTTACAATTAAAACAATGAGAATTACAAGCCAATTTCATATATTTCTATAAATACAATTTCTATATGTATATAAAAAAGACCTCTCTAATTATTGTAATGAATACTTTAGTAGCATTGGTATAAAGATGCTCAATAAAATCGACGAACCTAAAGATCCATTTAAACTTCAATCCAATTCCTCATCCATATATTCGTAACTCCTTATATGACAATGAACTTATTGATCACATCAGTTCCCTCAAAAACAGTTGCGCCCCAGGCCGATAAAATCGACTCCAAGATAATAAAAAAAAATTCATCTATACCTTACCGAACCACTAAAACATATTATTAATTTATCATTCGATACTGGTTACGTCCCTTCTTATTTCAAGGAGGCCATAGTTACTCCAATTTTTAAATCTGGTGATCTGGATCTTGTTAGTAACTATCGCCCCATTAGCGTCATTAATAATTTCTCAAAGGTTTTCGAAAGATGTCTTAAATCCAGACTTAATAACTTTCTCAGAAAAAAAAAATCCTATCCGAAAATCAATTTGGTTTTTGTGAAGGTCAAAATACAACTGACGCGATTCTTCAACTGACAAAAGATGTTAATTGTCTGGATACCAGAGTTAACTGCTTGGCCTTTTTCCTGGATCTGGCAAAGGCATTTGATACAGTCCCACACTCGAAACTTCTAAATGTCTTAAACTCATATGGGGTACGTGGGATCGCCCTCAGCATATTTTCGAGTTACTTGAGTGATAGGAATCAAACAGTCAAGATCGGTGAAACCTTAAGTGATCCAGTTAAAGTTCGTATCGGAGTTCCACAGGGAACTGTCCTGGGTCCTCTTCTGTTTATTTGCTATATAAATTTTCCAACGAACCTAAAAATAAACAATGGAACTATCATATCATATGCTGGCGACACGGTTATCCTCTTTAGAGGATCTTCATGGCATGATGTTAAAACATCAGCCGAAGAAGGGCTTACAAGGGTTAATTGCTGGCTACAGACATCCAAACTAAATCTAAACATTAACAAAACAGAATATATGGCTTTTTCACTTACCTCTGTAAATCGACCACATTTTACTAGCATAAACTTGAGTGAGGGGATCATTGGGGAGGTTGAGGCCACCAAGTACTTGGGTATCACTATTGATAGGCACCTCAGATGGGACAAACATGTTGCACGACTTACCCTCAATATTCGAAGACTCATTTCTAGGTTTTATATTTTAAAACATATTCTAAGCCAGAATGATCCATTCTGACACTTCTCCAGTCTGAAGTATGGAGTAACCAGGTCATCTCTATTTGGTATATTATAGGTATGGCAATTAGAGGTGGGCCAACCTGCGATTTTATTGGAGCAGTGACAAGACGTGACTGCTCCAGTCGTGTCACTGTGACAAATAGCAGTGATTTTTTGGAGCAGTTTTACCTTAGTTAGCGGCCGTACTGCTAATACTATGTTAATGCTACATCGCAACATGGCATGGCATAATCACAGTCCGCAGTCACGGCCGAGAGAGATGTTCCAGTTTCCAGCCTGCCTTCTGCTCTGCAGTAGCAGTTTCTATTTAGCGTGACCGCGATGCGATTTATAATATTCATTTGCATCACTTAGCTCGAGTTTTGTCTGCGCTGCATCGGTCGGAGCTTGAAGCGGGCAGTGACAAAATGTCACTGCTACTTGACTGAGACTGGAGCAGGCCGTGACAGTGACAGACGAGTAGCAGTGACAAAGTCACAGTTCGTGAAATCGCAACCCACATTTAATGGCAATGACTCTTACAGTTCTCCTTTGTGAGTGGCGCGAAAAATGAATGCATATTTTAAATTGGCTAGTACCTCTGAGACTATAGTACACAGTAACAAACAGGTAGAGTACCTGCTTTTCACTGTGTTCTAGCCGATTTAAAAACATGCATTCATTTTTCGCGCTTATAAGCGCGAGTCGGCGCTGATTACCGGTAAGCGGAAACCTGCTTGCACTGTCTCGTACACTAGGCAAAAATCCTACCCGCGTCTGCAGCCCCTCCCCAAACTATTATGCCATAAGACAGTAATGAATGGCAGAGAGCAAAGTATGCCGCCCTGAAAAACACCGCCTGTCACACCCCTCAGCACAAATATGTTTCTGCTAATTTTAGTTACCAGTTCCCCGACAACACACCATTAACTTGTACTTTCTGAGATCTATTAGCAAGATATGATTTCATTAGTTGGACACTGTCAGAATCAAAGCTGTAAGATTCAAGCAAAGAATATTTCAAGTTTTTTTGCTAGGAGAATATGCGAGACATTGCAACAGATGCTTAGTGAAACTCAACAAACACGAGATTGTGCTGTGGCCTCTATGGCTGTGGCCCCTCCTGAAATCAAGCTGTGCCCTGTGAAAAGGTTGTTATTTTCGAAATATTGAACTATCTGGACTGCAATACATTTCTCAAAGATCTTGGACAACATTGGAAGCAGGGAAATGGGTCTATAATTTCCACTGGAGGAGGAGTATCAGGTAGATATACCTACATAGACTTCTCCAAAATGTTTGACAGAGTACCGTTGAACATTAAATTCTCTAAAAAAAAACTAGACAGAAAATATAGGGTTTCCTGGAGTTTTTTTGAGGTGGGTTATTGACCACTTTTCAAAAAGAAAACAGAAACTAAAATTAGAAAACTCAGAGATTTACATCACTTTTACTCGCTGGTTCTCGTCTCAGGAAGTAGATTAGAGTTCCTCAAAAAAACAAATTTTTCGTCTTTATCATCCTTGTTTACTTATCGATTACGTTGACAAGGACAAAACATTCGTTCTATCGGGAAGCTATATTCCCTCAGACGAGAATCGGCTCCCCCGGCTGTGTTTTGCGGGGTGGGTATGTTTCCCCTCAAATATTCAATATCTTGGACGATGGTAAATAAATATGTGTTTAAACACTGTATATTTCTCAATTTTGCTGATGAAAAAAAATAATCCGGTCAAAATACTACTAAAAATAGTAGTGAAGTCACAAAAATTCCCATAGAGCTGAAAATTGGTATGAATGTTCGGAACAGCATTATAAATGAATGTTGAAAAGTCCCCATCGATCTCGTACCTGGAATTTTTTTTTATTCAAGGTCAAGGCCTATTCCACGGTCCTGTAATGATCCGGAAAAATAGTCCCGATATTTACAATGTTTTTATTTACTGTAAAATTTAATGTAATCAAATATTTCGTCATCAAGACTGTGTCATCATCTAAATTCCTAAAAATATTAAAAGCGGGGCCATAGTAATTTAAATCGATGATTTATGGCACACGTGTGTCGGCTTTCTTTGTGTTGCCCTCACATTCTTAAACTAAAGTTTTTGACCCCTATACATCAGGAAATTGCAACATAATTATTCGATTTTAAACAAATAACAAAGGAGATTGCATCATCCTCACAATTGTGATGGACAAAGAAATTTTGGGGGGATTGAATAATATAAATACAGCAGTTTCAATTGAGATCGGCAGTTGTCAGTTGAGTTGTTAGTTCAGTCCAGTTTGAGTTAAAGTCTACAGTACCTAATGTGTCAGTCCGAGTAAAATTCGCGAAAGTTTCTTTTAAGGCCTCGGAAAAGGTCTTTGAAATAGTAACGGAAAATTGTAAAAGAAAGAACAGTTAAATTCGTTCAATATTATGTGCGTGCTTTAGAGATCTTTTTTTGAAGTAAATTAAATTAAGTAATTTAACGTGTGAAAAGTTAAATGTAATTTCTGATTGATAAGAAGTGAATTGACAATGACTTTTAATGCCTAAAAACTTGAGTGATTTTGACTAGTAAAACTTTCTGACTGGAACTTTATTGCATAAATATCAATAACTCGAGTGCTTTGACTATGGAACCTTATTGCATAACTTTAATTGCCTTCGAGTATAATGACATTTTAATTGAATTTTGCAAAGAAAATATGAAGGGAATTTATAATGCACTTAAGCAGTATCGATTTTGAGTAGGAATTATTAAAGAATTTTGAATTGGATTGTCCAAATTGAAGTTTAAGGGCTATAGTAATGAATAACGAATCTAATAGGAATTAAATAACTGTGTTTGTTGGCTAGGAATCCGAAAATAGTTATTGTTCTGATTTAAATAAACCATTATATGTAAATGGGAAGTTTCGGAATGAAACTTATTGTTCATGAAGAAACATTGATAATCTTAATTGCTGAAATTTTGAATTAGGGTTTTTATTTTTCATGTAGAAATTATTGTAAGGTTTTTTTATGAATAAGTTAGTAATATCTATATTAATAAACAAATAATTATACTCCTGGACAAAATTATCGCACTACCACTGCATATAAGCACCATAAGCAGTGGTGCGATAATTTTGTCCAGGAGTATATTTTGATTTTGCATAAGCAGTCAGTAAAGGACTTAGGAATTTTTAAGAATTTATAGATGTAGGTGAAGGGTAGTTAATAGGAATGAATCGGAAGTGTTGAAATGTATAAACATATAAGTTATTGAGAATAGTTTAGTAGGGCGTTTTTCTTTTATGGATATTTCCTGGTCCCTAATGATGACATTTGAACGGATGTAAAGTAATTTGAATTGAGAAATAGAAATGGCTGTAAGAATTGAAAGATATTTTGCTTATTTAAATTTTTGGTTTTATGTATAATTTTTCTTTTGCGAATAGACCCTCAACAATTTTATAGGTAGCAGCTCCAAGGAAATAAACACCATCAATATACCGCTCGCCATTTACCATCCACCAATAGACCTATCTATTTTATCAGACAAAGAGGTAATAATACGAAAACTTTATTAGATAGAAAAAGACGCAGAACGCTTATTGCGCAAGACGAGGCAAAATGTACCAAATTATGTTAGACTTACGTATAGCAATCCGTTCTTATTATTTGCACGGAATAAAAAAGGAAGGAGGAAAACCGCTTGACATGCAACGTATTTGTCAATCAAAAACACAAACAATTGAAAATCGATCACTTGTCAAGCTACGTCAAGTTGAATATCAAGCATAATTTTATCCATGTCAGACCACGGGCAATGAACAAGGACAAGGAGATGCCCAGCGTGCAAAACGAACACCTCTCACCTGTACTAGTTAGCCAATAGAAAGGCATTGCCTCGTGTTGCCCGCGCATACCAGGTAAAAATAGATAGGTCTATTACATAGAGTACTTGGGTCGTTTTGCTACAGTCCATTGTGATCCTATTCAATTTAAAAACTATTGGATAATGAAAATTAATAGTATTGGAAATGATGATAGCTGTATAAATAAATAAATAAAAATAATTTTTTGTGCCCCGAGGATGACCTACTTTAGGTCGAAACGTCGACAAATACATATTTTTCATCTCCAACGCTGGATTATTGACCTGAATCCAACTTTAAAAAAAACTAATAAAATAAAAAGCATGTCAGGTCAAAAGGAAGAGGGTGAAACTGTTAATCGTGGCATGAAGACATATTGATCAATGCAAGTAATGAAAGAGCTGATGAATTTTTGGAATATCTGAGAAATGAGAAATCTGTGATGTCCGTAAATAGTCAAATACCGGCCGGGCTGAGGTTTGGGTTTATAATCAGCCAAGGCTTTCATTTGCAGTTATCGGCTGTGTTTCATTCTAAATTTTTCGTCATAATGCAGACTCTCTTATAGGGGTATGTTGCGGCCGTTATTTATATTTTAACTGGCCGGCGGCCGTTAAATATACATTTTCAGTTTCAATTTCGCTCATGTTATAGTAAGATAACAGTACAGTATGACGGAAAAAAAAGGGCGCTTTAGTACACTACTTTACAGGTGGCATGGAAATGTGTGCATATTATGAAGATAACAAAATTTTCAACTCTTAGAATCGTTATATCTCATAATCGGTGGCTTTTAGAAAATAAAGTATTGAGACATTTTTTATAGATAAATAGGTATGATCTACAATTTTTGTCTGACCTAATTCCATGAAATGATAAAACTTATCGTTTTTTTTTTTTGGCTGAAAAACACGAAAAACCCATTATTGAGACCATTAACCTTGAATAAAAAAATTTTCAGGTACGGGATCGATGGGGACTTTTTAGCATTTATTTATAATGGTGTTCCGAACATTCATACCAATTTTCAGCTCTATGGGAATTTTTGTACCCTTGCATGTTTAAATTGACCGGAGAAAAGTCATTAGCATTACATAAAAAATATCCAGGATTGTGAAATTTTACAAGGAGAAGATAATCATTTGGCACTAAACATCCTTAATGCAAAGTCATGTATTTCCGTAGAACTAAAAATCCACATACCTAATTCAACTACTTAATAAATTTAATCAAACTTGATAGGGTCATTAAGGATCTTGACGCTTTTTTAGATGTTCAATTGAATTTTTCTGAACATATTGAAAGAGTAGAAAAAAATCCTTATTCAGCTCTATAGTTCGCCAAATCCTACTTTTCGTATTACACAATTTGCAGATGACAGAAATCTGTTAGTGAAAGTATCAAACTTTCGTGAAAATTGGTTTTAAGGAAATATACTATGTCCAAGAGAAAACCAATATAATTCAGTTTGGAACCAAATTAAGTATAATAGGAAAACCCTATTCTCTGTGCAACGCCAAAAAGTACTTGAACAAATAAGCCTTAAAGCTCATATTGTAATAATAAAACTTTGCTAATATAAATAGAACTTTGCTTTTAATTTTAGCTTTTGAATCCCAGTATCCAACCCACCAAAACTCTTCCAGCGGCAGAAATTGAAGTAATAGTGAGATTAACAAAAACTTTTTAAAAATATATGTAATTTTCTCATCATACAAAAACCTATTTCAAAAGAATGCATGCGATTATTATTTTAATACCATTGAAAAAAAGAAACCTAAAAATTAACATCCTAACATTACTCTGGCTCGATTCACCTTAGGAGCTTTCTTCTTCCTCCATAAACGAATCTGCAATGTTGCTTTCTAAAATAATTCAAACATGTTAATTTAACGACTTAATTTTCAGATTTTTTTCTACCTTCTCCCGAGGGATCCATACTACTAGACTGAACGTCACTACGAACTGGAGAACCTCCAATTACTAAACCACTATTTTCTGGAATGTTGACTTGGGTATTTGATGGTCCAGCTTGCTCAGGTTCAGGACCTTAAGAAAAAAAAATATAGACAATCATGAAGTTGCTAAATTTTTTATTCACCTTCTGAGGTATCCATCATTTCACTATTTTGAGGGCCAGTGGAAACTGACGCAACTCGATTCTCTGCTTCAGTATTTTCTTTGTTTGCTTCATTATCTGACGGTTTGGCTTGGTCAGCAGCAAGAACTTTGAAAAATAATAAAGTGACAAATTCACAGCATGAAATTTGTTTCATTTGAACTATGTATTTCCACACAAAAAAAAAGTTTATTGGAGCTATTTTTTTACTTACCAACTTGCTGTTGAGGAGGCTTTTGACCAAAGTTTCTTGGATCCACGGTAAGCGATTTTGTTGTATTGTCAGTTTTGTATATTCCAACTAAATAGTCGCACAGTTCAAACATATTGGAGCGGAGAGATATGATTATAAATTGAGCATTTTTAGTTCGTTCCTAAAAAAATATTTCTATTATGAAAGGAATTACATATATGAAAAATGTACTAAAAAAGAGATCCGCATCAGAATTTAGTGCTCAGAATTGATAGAAATGGAAAACTCAAATATTTCTTAATCTACTATAAGATGCTTATTTTGTTCCATCATAGTGATTTTCGATAATTCGTTAAACACAATATTTACCTTAATATAATTTCCCACAATAGACACATTTTTGAAATCCAAAGCAGCATCAATTTCGTCCATAACATATAACGGCGATGGTTTATAATAATGCAGGGCAAATACTAAGGCTAGAGACGATAGGGTTTTTTCACCACCAGATAAATTTGAGATCCTCTTCCAGGTTTTCTTTGGCGGCCTCACACTAGAAAAATAATTCATTAAGAAACAAACTATACATTTGAAGAAATTCACCTACAAAAATTTATCTTAAGCTAGCCAAATGTAATTTTTATACATACTTAAATTGAATTCCTTCAGTAAATGGGTCATAAGTGTCTACCAGTTCTAGCTCAGCGTCACCTCCCAAAGTGATCATTTGGTACATTTCTTTCAGTTTTAATTTGATTATAGCAAAACCTAAAAAAAAAAAAACTTGATCAGTCAATAATTAATTATATCTAAGTATGATATTTGGTTTTACCTGTAGTAAATTCATCTTTCCTTCTTTTTTTCAGATCTTCATATACATTTACCATCGCCTGTCTTTTTTTATTGATTTCTTCCAACTCGTTGGATCTTTGCATGAAGACCTCTTGTTTTTTGCGATAATCCTATACGAAAAAGTAATTAGATTGGACTAGATGGAAGTGACATCAAAATACATCAAAGAAAAGGTTATTAGTGATTTTTTCTTACCTGAATTGCGGTCAGATTGGGTTTGGCAGCTTTCAAGTGACTCTCAGCCAAATGTATCTCTTTTTCTACTTCGCGAATATCTCTCTCCTCCAGTTCTTCATCCGTATAAATTTTAAGCTCCTCTACAGCTTCATTGGGGATTTCTTGCAGTTTCAAAACACTCATCTTGGCTTCATTGGATTGTATAACAGCATGATAATTTTGCAATTTTTTGTCGAGATCCTTAACTCTTTTGTCTATGTCGATTTTCGTCGACTTCAGTTCGTTTTCCTGTTTCGTTATCTCTTCTGCAGCTTTTTTGGCCGCTGAATCAAAAATAAATGTCTAAAATTTTTATTGAAGAAAATTGTAATTTTTACCAAAATAGTCGCCTTCTCGTTCTTTAAGCTCTTGAGTAATTCCTTCCATACACTCAGTCATCTTTTCAAAATCTTCTACAATCTCCTCTCTTTGTGCTTTCATTTCCCTAAGAGCCGTTTCCATATCTAACACGTCTTGTTCCATACGAGCGATGTTTTCTTGAGTGGTTTTGTAGTTTCTTTAAAAAAATATTCAGATAATAAAAATCGAAAAATTAGGCAATTTTCATTTTACCTTTCTGCAGTCTTTGCAGCAACCGTCATCTTAGTAATCTCAGACTTTAAAACGACAATCGTCTTGGCACATTCTCTAATATTTTTGTCCACAGTACGAATTTTGGCTCCACTTTTTTCTTTGATTTCCTTAGTTATTTTATCTACTTCGGCTTGTAGAGCACCTGAAAAGAATATTTTTGTTTAGAGCTATTTCAAATTTATCTCAACAACAAATTACCTGCAGTTTCGGCAGCAGCCTCATATTCCTCCTTCCGTTGCTCCACCACAGCAGTTAATTTTTTGACTTGCCCAGCATCTGACTTAGTAGCTTTTGACCGAGCTTCCTGCTCTTTGATTTGCCTGATTAAATTGGGCTGTTGCTGTTGCAAACTATGCAATTCTTTGTTGACCTTGTCCAAATCCATTTGCATTTGTCTCAAACTGGGATTAAGCTCGTTCATTTGAGCTTCCAGCTCAGCTTGCCTTGCCCTCAATTCTCTGACGTTGACTTCTAGTTCTTGCACTTCTTGTTCTAAACGATTCAATTCTCTAGGGTCAATATTAGCGACTGCGATTGATTGTCCCATTCGGCCTTTCATAACTCTTTTTCCACCTCCACTCATTGTTCCTGTGGTTTCGATCAAATCCCCTTTTAAAGTAACCACTCTGTACCTTCTAGCTCCATAAGCTATTCTTGAAGCTTGCTCTAAATCATCTGCTACTAAAGTATCACTTAAACCATAGTAAAATGCGGTTTTTACTCTCTGGTCTTGTATTTTAACTAAATCATAAAGTCTGTGGACATTTTCTGGCGTTTGTATACGCGAATTAGCTTTGTCTCTCAGACGATCTTGTTTATCTAGAGCTATAAATACTCCACGACCAATGTCGTGTTGTTTGAGGAATTTGATGCACCATTGAGCAGTATCTACTGTGTCCACTACAATATTGTCCAGAGCACCACAAGCTGTAGATATAGCCACATCGTATTTTGAATCTATTGCTCCTAAATCGCCCTAAAAATAATCAATATTGGACAAAATATGAAAAGATTGAAATTAGCTTACCAGTCGTCCAAAAAGTCCTGGGCACTTTCCTTCTGTCTTGGCTCTCATTAGCGAATCCAAAACTCGTCCTCTAGACTTAGAGGCTTGCATAGAGCTTCTGCCTTCTTCCAAATTACCTCTTTTAGTTCTGATTTCATTAGAGGCCGCAGTTTCTTGTTGTTTAACTCTCAAAAGCTCAACGTTGGCCTCATTCAAAGCTTTTTTGGTAGCGGGGATTTTTTTATTTAGCTCGGCTACTTGCTTGGTACGTTCTTGTATTGTAACTGCAGATGTTTCGTATAAGGTTTTTAGGTTAGCTAGTTTGTTCTTTTCAGTTTCTTCATTACTGATGCAAACCTTGAGTTCGGTTTCTGCTAGATTGAACTACGAAAATAAATTCATTAAGTATATTATGGCAATTGACATTTTTGAGAAGGCTTCACTTACTGCTGATTTTGTTTTGTCCACTGATTCCTTTAAAACCGCCAAATCTTTCTGCATTTCTTCTTTTTTCTCCTGCAACCCTTTGGTTTCTCCTTGTATGTTTTTCAACAAACTACTTTTTTCAGCTTCATATCTTTCTTTCTGTGCAGTAGTTTTTTCTAGTTTGCCCTCAAGCTCTCTGATCCCGTTTTCACTTTCTTGCGGAACAGTTTTTAGCCTGTCAAGATTTTGCTTGTCGGTAACAATCAATTCTTTAGTCTTTTTTCTTTGTTTATTTTTATTGGTCATGTCTTCTTGAAGCTGCACATCCTTCTTTTTAGCTTTGTCTATGGACTCTTTGATGCTCTCATTTCTTTTTTTGAGATTTTCATAGATTTTGCCTTCCTCATCTTGTTTACCTAAGTGTTCTTTTTTTTGTTCTTCTAAAGCTTTCAACTGATCCATCAACTGTTTTTGGTCTTTGGCTTCCTCATCTCGACGTTCTTGTTCCACACTTGCTTTTTCTTTAATATCTTTGCTGAAATAAATTCAAAAAATTACCTTTGTCTTGATTATTCCTAAAGACAGAATATTAAACTTTTACTCACTTATTTTTTTGATATAAGTAGTTCTTATTGATCATAATACTGTTTTCCTTCTTCAAAAATCCAACAGCTTCCTGCATTGGCTCTTCCAGCTCATTCAATTCGTTTTCTACCAAGTTTAATCTATTCAATTTTTCGCCCCTTTGTTCATTTAGAAGCTCAACCTTTTCATTTACTAGTCCCAGAGGTTTCTAGAAAAAAAAAATAGGAAAATTTGTTTTAAATTTTTCAAACATACCTTATATCTGGATGTTCCGATAATATCTTCCAAATATTCGAGCAGACCAGATTCTCCTTTCTCCCCCTTGCACTTCATTGTGGCAATTTGTTCTACTTCACCCTAAATATAATTATAGAAGCATAAATATATTTAACAGAAAATTTATTTTACCTGTAGAATTAAAAACCTATTGTGGTCCAAATCAATTCCATGACTTTTTAATAAAATAGCAATATCTTTGAACTGGACTCTTTTACCACTGAGTTCATAATATGAAGAATTATCCTTATGCGCTGTTCTGGATACAACAAATTCACTGCCTGGTACGATATCATAGTTATCTCCTGTCTGAAACAATGACCAAAATTTGGCTAAAGGTTGATTTATTATTCAGAGTTCTTACCTTGTCGATAATTTGAGCAAAATGAATCCTAACAGTGCAGGACTGTGTATTTTTGTAATGTTCGGAATCATGCAGTAAAACGGAGACTTTCTTGCAACGGATCTTGGTTGCTCTGTATCCGAATACAAAAAGAAGGGAGTCGATTACGTTGCTTTTGCCACTACCATTTGGGCCAACTATCGCATTGAAACACTGGAAAAAATATTATGCAATTTACAATTATTAAAGCAAAAATCAAATTTATATGGATTATAGTGATCTAATCAAGTGAAAGAATCTTCACTGTGTTGTTATTTCCTTCTATTCCACATGCTTCAATTCTTTTACTTTTCCAAAGAATGAGAGTTTATCTGGAATAAAGTCAAAAATCAAAGCAAATTTCGTTGGAAAGCAATTTTATACCAAAATATTTCAATGACAAAAGCCAAAAGAGAACATATGATGAGGCAACCACACATAAAGAAAGATTATTTTTCTTGATTTTAGATTCATTTTGCTGGCAATAGTTATTATTATTATCATTGTAAATCTGGAAAGTATACAGCTTGGTAACACACAATTTCAACTAATGAAATTTACTTATCTATTCTAAATCCTCTGGGCCGTGATAAGCAATATTTGTATTCCAAATAAATACCCATCATTTTATTGAAGGTTCAGAGTTCAGACTGTCTTTATAAATAATAGCTTATAGACCATCCTATCAATTCTGCATTCATCAATATCAAAATAAGAGGGTCAACAGGATCAGTTCTTGAAAGTTTTGTTGGAAAATGCTTTGGACATTTTGTTGTTTTTATATTATAGGCGAAGAGAACTACCATGAGCCTGCTTGTTCTCTAAAAATCCGAAATGATTCTGATTTTTTACCTTTTTTCTGGAGGGTCTAGGGTGAAACGTTAGTAAATTCATTGTCAGTTAGTTTAAACATTGAAAATTTTATTGCCAAACTACAAACTAAAATCTTGCTGACAAAATTAACGTTAGCTATTTAATTCCACAATTTTTTTTCCTAAAAAGTATAAAAGTGAAGCCTTATGTTATAGCTAGACAAAACTTTTTTCCTCTCAAAGAAAAATTGGGAGCCCGAGTGAGAGCCATGGGGAACCCCAAAGGATGCATAGAAAAGAGAAGAAGGATAGCCATCGATCTTGACTTGCTGCATTCTGTTAGTAAGGTAAGATTTCATCCATGAAAGTAAAGGTCCAAAAATGCCATAACTTGGTGGTGTGGTTAACCTTATCAAAGACTTTACTGAAGGCAGTATATATTGCATGATTTTCTGCATATTGTTATCGAATGAAGAATTTAAATTTATAAAATTTGTAAAGAAAAACAGGTTTGTGTCAAGATCTACCGGCTGTAAAATCATACTGTTGACTCATCACAATCTGCTGAAATATTTTTGAAAGGATTCTTTCAAAGCACTGCTCAAATAATTTAGGAATTGCAGAATTGCTGATACGTATATACTTTGTGGCATCATTATTGCTCTCTGACTAGGAAAAGCATAAGAGAGCTTCCACATTACTGGAAAAATTCCAGAAGTTAATAAGGAAGTTGTAGGTATTGAGAGACTAGAATAAATGAGAATTATTTTAACTCTAAAGCTAAGCCCAAAACAATAAATTTTAGCTGCTGAAATAACGTCAACCTAAGTCTACTCAACTGGAGAATTTTGAGCCCTTAGCAGTTTTATAAGAATACTGAATAGGAAAACTTCAAGTACTCCCAGTAAATAAATAAATAAATCGTTTATTTTGCAAATACAGGGTTTACAAAAAAATGGGGTTTTTACAATTTCTAAGAAATTGGTTGACCACAATGTCAATTTGAAAGTACTTCAGCACACAAAAATATACATCACTAAAAACTTGGAAGCAAATATGGTGGTAATGAGAGACAAAGAAGAAAAAAAAAGAAAGAAAAAAAAGAAAAGAGAAAATTCTGCAAAATCACCATTAAGAGTTTTGGTTACTACATGGTTTCTAAAAACTGGTAAACTTAAAGCATTGCTGGTAGCTTATTGTAAATGTTTGCTGCTTTGTAGGAAAAACTTGTTTTTTTAAAAAGTTCGGAACTATGGAAGGGGATTGTTTCGGAATTCCATGTTTTTATACAGATATATGGGTTGTTTAGCCAAAATCACCTATGTATACTGAATGCTTTCAAGTATGGAGAAATATGGTTTCTTCGTGGGATTTGTAATGCGAAGCGAACGTAAGAATTCTGAATTTTTTGTAGCCTTCTTGCATCTTCAGCACGTAAACACGGACCATAAACAGTGTCACAGAAGTCTAATTTGGAGAGTACTTAAGAATCGCACAGTCTTAACTTTGCACTTTGGAAAAGATAGTTTTTTAAATTATAAGGTCCTTTTAATGTGAGAAAAGAAGATCTACTTAGGGACGCCACTTGTTTTGCATAGTTCAGTTTTTTGTCCATGATAAGACCGAAGTTTCTAACATGCTCACTACATCTTAATGCTTCACCGTTCAAGGTAAGCTGACCGCCAAGATTTCTTACACATTCCTTCTACCTTCAAACACAATGGCATCAGTTTTAGACACATTAACTTTAAGACCATGCATATTTGTTCATTGAATTAAACTTTGCAAATCTTCGCTGATTGTCGATGTCTTGAAAGTTAAAATCATACATAAGCTGTATGTCATCAGCGTGAAAATGAAATTTACAATACTTTATGCTGCGTTTCAAATCTATGAGGAACACATTAAACAGCAAAGAACCCAAAATTGACCCCTGTGGCAATCCCTTTTGCACAACCAATTCCTGGGACAGTGCTGGGCCAGTTTTCCTCCTTCGTTCGACAGTTTAGTGTCTGTTGAACAAGTAAGTCTTAAACCATTCCAAAGGTATATCCTTAACACCATAACACGAAAGCTTCGAGAGCAGAAAGTCATGAATGATACTATCAAATGCTTTGGACATATCTGGAAGGATAAGAATGGTTATTCGATTCCTGTCCAAAGAAGTCAGTAAGGTCAAGTTAATATTTTGTCAATAGAATATTTTTTCTTGGATAATAAAGTATGATTGACTATGAATATGACTAAACAACGAACAAATGCAAAGTTTCGCCGTTTTTTGAGATATCGCCATTTTTAGATATTAATGGCCCCACTATCAAGCTGACCACACCCTTTTAAAGTATTCTTGCGGATCATCAAATTCTTGACAGTATAAAATCTTCAAAATCAAAAAGATCAACTGGGTTTGATAGCATACGATCCTATTTACAAGGTATCTGCCGAATCTTTCTTATATCCATTAAAATTCATATTTAATTTAAAAAGGCTGTTTTCCTGATATTCTTAAAACAGCAGTTATTTCGCCTATTTTCAAGAATGACGATAGGGAGGATATAAAGAATTACTGGACAATAAGCTTACGGAATAGTCTAAGTAAAATATTTGAAAAAAAATTGTAGTGACCTTTTGTGTCATATTTATAATAATATATCGCAACTTTAACACGGGTTCCTGGAAGACAGATCTTAAGTTACCAACCTACATATGTTGTTTCTCGGAATGTGTGCCTGAAGCCATCACTAATAAGACACTACTGGATGTTATATACACTGACTGCAAAGGCATTTGACAAGATAGACCACAACATATTGCTGAGCAAGTTGGCTAATTTTGGTCTCTCTTCTAAAGCCTGTAGCTTTTTGAGATCATATTTGTTTTAACGCCATCAGTCTGTCAAGGTTCGACATGCTTTTTTTGGTCAGTTTGTTTCTACTTTAGGAGTTCGCCAAGGAAGCAACTTCAGTCCCCTGCTTTTCATTATATTTATAAATGATGTACCTGAATGCTGAATCCTTAATGCCATCCTATAGTTTGCTGTATGCTGATGATTTTAAGCTTTTTAAAACGGTTTCTTGTGCAAATAATTGTGCTGACTTGCAGTTTGACTTAGATGCAGCCAAGAAATGGTTTAAAGATGACAGTCAGTAGTCACACATACCCAGAAGGTTAATTGTATTGTTGACGATTATTTTGTGGACGATGTTAAATTGGTTAGAAAAAATGAAATTAAGGACCAGTTGCATGTTCTTTAAAAATAGGCAGTGGATAGAGGTCCGAAAATTCGGATCTCTAGTGTTCATACTAAAGATCCGATAATTTTCGGATTTTCAATTTGTATATTAGGGGTCCGAAAATGCGGATCTTTAGTGGTAATATTGAAGATCCGAAAATAGATGTTTATTTCTAATTCTGTCTAATTAAGGAGTATCGTCGCAAGTAGGTATCTATAAAGAATAATATTCGAGATAAGTCTGTTTCTGCAGAAATCACAAACCAGTCAGAGTGAATTTCATTGGTTGATACTAGTTTTCTGACTGTTTTCAAACAATGAAATTTGCTCTGACTAATTTGTGATTTCTGCAGAAACAGACTTATCTTGAATATTACCTATTCTTTGTAGATATTTGCGACACCATTTTAATGAAACTAGCCCAAGAACCAAATACTACTGCACAAAACCAATTAGAAGAAACCCATAAAGGAAGACTTCAAGGAAAAATATGCGATCTCTTCACACAATTAGAAAGTTTACAGATAACCAATCATTTATACGGTATTTTAATGGGTATCGGTCTGTGTACAGGCGGGTCATAAGGGAGGCAAAGAATAAATATTACAGGAAAAGGATTGATAAAGCCGAAAATAGAAGCAGAGAATATTGGAAAATAATTAATGAGTTAAGGGGTATGGAAGCGAAGCCAAAAGAATTACTTAATGTTAGCCCACAGAAGCTTAATAATTTTTATGTCTCGGTCGCTGGTAGATTAACCCAGGGTTTAGATTCTCATATCGATCCTCTTGCTTATCTTCAGCCTATTGCGCATTCGATTAGATTTGAGTTTAAATTGGCCATAAAGAGAAAATTAAAAACTGTATTAAATCAATAAAAAAACAGAATGCGTCAGGACTCGACGAAATTTCTGTAAAGATTTTGAAAAACCTACCAGACATCGCGCTTGAGGTGCTGGTATCATGTATAAATTCGTCTTTAACAACAGGAATTTTTCCTCCATGTCTTAAGTCAGCGATAGTTATACCAATCTTTAAAGGGGGCGATAGCTCTGACCCATCGAACTATAGGCCGATCTCTCTACTGAGCACCCTTTCTAAGATCATGGAAAAAATTGTTAGGGAGTAACT